TTGACATTAAATTTGCTTTATTTTGTAAGGTGTTTATTTGGTTTTGAATGGTAAGCTTTCAAAAACACATCATTACACATATACCGGGCTTTGATGAGGATGGATTATGATTACATGGTTTATTAAGCAGCAGTTAAAAGTAGGCTACTACAAAAAAACTGGACAGAATACAATGGAGAACAATGAGATTACTTTGGGTTCCCTTACCCATACAACTGTACTATTTGGTATGCCAGAAACAGATTAAGTCATTAAGCAAAACCTACAAGTATGCCCTAGGGCCTACTGCATATTGCAGTATGGAAGCCAGCATATGTATATATGGCTATTCTGACCCACAATACTTTATCGAGCAAGAGGGCAAAGGTAAAGATGCAATGTTGTGATGAAGTAGTGCAGTGGTGCCCTCTGGACCTGATAGTGGAGCAACACAAATTGCAGAATGCATAATGCCAATTGAGATTTAATAAAAAATCTTACATTGAAATAAATAGTTAAGTTCTTTATAACTACGCATAAAGATACAAAAGAGGGAAAAAAATGGCATAATTTAAAACAATAATAAACAAGCTATTGTCAGAGTCAGTTATAAAGAATATAAAAGGAGGGCTTACTATTTCCTGCAGTTGATACAATGAATGATATTTCAATAAAGATTGACAATATTACTCATGTCAGACAAAGATATGTTTGAATATATATATTTATCGTAATTCAAATATGAACATCAAAAATCGGAATATGTCAATCTTTTTTTCTTATTATCTTATTTGCTAAACGTTCTTGTATAGTAATATGCGTGTGTTGTATTATTATACTACGTCTATTTATTAATGTTCAGCAATAACCACGTTTTCCCAGTACATCCATGGGACTGACGTTCTTAGGTGGGGTGATTCCGCTTTGAACAGGAATTTTGTTAGCCAGTGTTCCTGTTTTCCATGTGCTCAATAAAGTTTCTTAAAAAAATTCTAAGGAATTCAACCAATCAGAAATGGACCCACGTGTCTTTTCAACCAATCAGATTCCGCAGCAATTGCGCCGCGTAAGATAGTATAAATAGCCCCGCCTAGAAAAAATACATCAGTTACTTCTTACCCTGGACTCATAAAGGCCCTGCTGTGAGAGATAACTTTGCCTTTTCCTCTTCTTTATCAAAACCCTCTTCACATCTTCAGAAAAATGGTGAGTACGATAGTACAGCTTTCCTCTTCTTAGTGTATTCAACCAAATGCAGCGCTCTGAACGTGTGTCATCATGCGAACACGTAATCAGCTTAACGTTTTTTAACCGCTTACTCTTTTAAGAAGACTCATCATTTTTATAGTGAAACAAAAATGTTGCGGTATAAGATGGTAAATCAAGCTTCGTCATTAATAAGTCGTTTTAACTGTGGTGTTGGTAAATTAAGTGTAACTCGACGGCACAGTCAAGATGTTGAAGTGACGCATTTACAATCGGCGCGAATTGTTGGAAATAAATATGCTTCCTGTCTCATTAGTGGCCGGGTTTAATGGTTTCATATTTAAAACATGATATTAACACAGATAAAACAATTTTTTTCCGAATTTCAGTGAACCAGGGCGTTTTTCCAACGTACGTTTGAAATGATTACTCGCTGCCGATATTTAAATAAAAATGAACCCTCTGTCTCCCCAAATCTCGCGAGAGTTTATTTCCTGCGACGGATTTGTGTCGACCTCGGTTTAGTGTCTTTACATTGCATTTAGCTGACGCTTTTATCCAAAGCGACTTACAATAAGTGCATTCGACCAAGAAGATGCAAACTTGAAGAAAACGGAATCATATAAGTACATCAGGTTTCATAGAGCCACTATGTGCTACTCCTCTGGCTTTAGATAAGCCAGTCCTTTATTAGTATATAAGTGCTTTGTTAGTAATTGTATTGCTTTAAGTGCAGTCGAAAGAGATGAGTTTTTAGTCTGCGCTGGAAGATGTGTAAGCTTTCTCCTGTCCTGATGTCAATGGGGAGCTCATTCCACCATTTTGGAGCCAGGATAGCGAACCGACATGTTTTCTCTAATGTCTTCACATTAGAGAGATGAGAGACATGGTTCCAATTTTTACTTTATTCAGGTCGAATTGGATCATTATTATGTGTGTTTACGTCTCCTAAAGGGGTGTGGCAGTGGCGCACTCCTTGTGACACCATTGCAGAAAATGTAAATGCGTAGTCTCCTCTCAACACTGGCTCACATTCACATCCAATCTTGCCACCTGTATACCAACAACTGCGTCATTGTGCTTTCGGTATTAGACGTATAAACAGTATTTAGTTCTTTTTGTTTTTAATTATAACTGTCTTTCTGTTCAGATGACAAATGTGTGCGTCAGGTGACTTAAATCATGATATGATGTTTGGTTCTTCTTTGGTAAAATAGCCTTTTTCTCTAGAGCAGTCCTCCCACATGTGATGATATGCCACTAGAATGTATGTTGCACTGTTTTTGCACATTCAGCCAACTAGGCTTCCGTTTCTTAACAACCTTTTTTCCTTTTACAGCGCGAGTGCCTCTCAATCCACGTTGGCCAGGCTGGTGTGCAGATTGGCAATGCCTGCTGGGAGCTTTACTGTCTGGAACATGGGATCCAGCCGGACGGCAGAAAGCCTGGTGACCAGAACATCTCAGGAGGAGGAGGGGACGATTCCTTCAACACCTTCTTCATGGAGACGGGAGCTGGAAAGCACGTCCCCAGAGCTGTGTTTGTTGACCTGGAGCCCACTGTCATCGGTAAGTTCTCATTCATTATAAATGATAAAAGTATCATATATGCCTTCTCCCCCCTCTGTCATTCAAAACCTTCAATAATCTAATGCTCATTACCCATAGATGAGGTGCGCACAGGGACTTACCGCCAGCTGTTCCACCCTGAGCAGCTGATCACTGGCAAGGAGGATGCTGCCAACAACTACGCCCGAGGACACTACACCATCGGAAAGGAGGTTATCGACCTAGTGATGGACAGAATCCGAAAGCTGGTGGGTACATTTAGAACAGAAGTACATTTTTCTGAAGAGTATTAAATGGAAATGAATCAGTTTATTGCTAAGTAGGTTTTCACATACAAGGAGTATGCAATCATATTGTGTTGAATGGCAAAAGCCAAGTATCATAACTGATAATAAATATGTGAAATATATGTTTTAAAATGAAGAGCTGTACAGTGTTTTAAACAAACACAAGACATAACAATCTCGTATCACTCTTTCAAAGTGAGCATATTTCCCCGATTCTGGCCCACTTGCATCGGCTTCCTCCACCCTGCAGAATTCAGTTTAAGATCCTCCTGATCGCATTCAAAGCCCTCCATGGTATGGCACCCTCTTATCTGATCTGTTTTCATTTAATCTATATGTTTACATGCTGTGCACTAATACGCTTTTTATCATTAGCTGTGAACCCTTGGCACTGCTGTCTTTGTGTTATATAAATACATTTATTATTATTTGATGATTTTCTCTTTTTGTTTCAGTCCGACCAGTGCACCGGTCTTCAGGGTTTCCTGGTGTTCCACAGCTTCGGAGGGGGCACCGGCTCTGGTTTCACCTCCCTGCTGATGGAGCGTCTGTCCGTCGACTACGGCAAGAAGTCCAAGCTGGAGTTCTCCGTCTACCCAGCTCCCCAGGTGTCCACCGCTGTGGTGGAGCCCTACAACGCCATCCTGACCACCCACACCACCCTGGAGCACTCTGACTGTGCCTTTATGGTTGATAACGAGGCTATTTATGATATCTGCCGTAGAAACCTCGATATCGAGCGTCCCTCTTACACCAACCTCAACAGGTTAATGAGTCAGATTGTGTCCTCCATCACTGCCTCCCTTCGCTTTGATGGTGCCCTCAATGTTGATCTGACAGAGTTCCAGACCAACTTGGTGCCCTATCCCCGTATCCACTTCCCTCTGGCCACCTATGCTCCCTGTTATCTCCACGGAAAAAGCGTACCACGAGCAGCTCTCAGTGGCAGAAATCACTAATTCCTGCTTCGAGCCAGCCAATCAGTTGGTGAAATGTGACCCACGCCACGGTAAATACATGGCCTGCTGCCTTTTGTATCGTGGTGATGTCGTTCCCAAAGACGTGAACGCTGCCATTGCCACCATCAAAACCAAGCGCTCCATCCAGTTTGTGGACTGGTGCCCCACTGGTTTCAAGGTGGGCATCAACTACCAGCCGCCCACTGTAGTTCCTGGTGGAGACCTGGCCAAGGTCCAGAGGGCTGTGTGCATGCTGAGCAACACCACTGCTATTGCAGAGGCCTGGGCTCGGCTTGACCACAAGTTTGATCTGATGTACGCTAAGCGTGCCTTTGTGCACTGGTATGTGGGTGAGGGTATGGAGGAGGGAGAGTTCTCTGAGGCCAGAGAGGACATGGCCGCTCTGGAGAAAGATTACGAGGAGGTTGGAGCTGATAGCCTGGGAGATGAAGAGGATGAGGAAGGAGAGGAGTATTAGAAAGGCAAACATTCCGCTTTATTGATCAATGCTGTTTTATTAATGTCAAGAAAATAAAGTTGTTCATTGACTGAACCGATGCTTTCCTCTCGTCCACTGTTTCCACTGTTAAACATTACCTATCTGCTTAGATGGTTATGTGTTCACTTGCTCAGTTCAGTCACTTGGAGGCAGTGGTGTTTAACATGTATCTTTTCTCTGAACAGACAATGCTTTACTGCTAGATGAATCACTACATTATTTCTCAACATCAGTTGATCCAAGAGTCTCATTTGCATATCTTACATTGACTTATTTAAGATTGGATGTGTGCTTTACGTGAGAAGAACAGAGTCCTAACCCTGTCCTGGTCTAAAATAGGGTGTGGTATTCACTGGCCCAAGGGAGGGATAGTAGTGGGGGGGGGGCTCTCATGCTGGTGTTTTAAAAATACTTAGTTCTGCTGTTCCCAGACTGGAACATGAATGAAACTGAAAGCAATACATGAGGAACCATGTAAAGCAACATTGGAAAGGCTAAATAGTGTTGTAAATGTTTTTTTTATTTTCAGTTCTTTAATCATTCACCATGTTCGGTTACAAATAAATGCTTTTTCTTGACATTAAGCAGGGATGTTAATGCCATTAAAACAAAATGGATCCCACTGACCTAAATGAATACATTCCCTATTGCACTTTGAATTGCCTCTTTAGTAGTTAATGGGCTTTGTACATTTATGATCAGTTATTGAGCAGAAAAGCATGCCAAATAAAAGATATATTAACACTAATGTGAAATGTCACGTTATGCGTTAGAACAACTCCCAACCAGTTCGTCTGCAAAGGAAATGAATGTTAAAACCTTTGTTCTTCTCAAAAGCGACGTGTTCAAAGATAATAGCATATCTGGAGGGGGCTCTTCTCACCGTAAGACATGGAGTTAAGAACCATTCAACATGTTTGTCTCCATCTCATGAGGTAATTCTACTGTTTGGGAAATAAATGAATTCAGCTTTGCATAACTGCCTCTGACAAGAAAAATCATACAACAGAATATTTTGAATGCTGAAAAGATGTGCACTTCAAATGATACAAAAATACAGACGCATACACAGTGTCCTCATGCGTACACAAGTTGACGTATTTGGCTCTACTAAAACGCCCTGAAAATAAGGCATAGTGAATCAGAACGGACGGGTTACTACACTAAAACATACATCAAATTGTTCACAGGCCAAAACATCCCGATCGATATCAATCTGTAAATTGAGGAACTTACATCATACAGTGATTGTTTTTTTATTAACATAAATCCTCTTTGCTCATTCTATTGCTAAACATACACAGCTCTCATTTCAAACCCAACAGGAACATACAGTACTGTGACACTCATAAGCTTCCTATTGCCCCTTTTCTACAGCTCCCAAACCAAAGCAGCACATTGACAATAATGCATATAAATCCCAGTGAAAAGAGAACGCGTCACAGTGTAGTACACCTCAGTCTCAAATGCTATTAGCTGAAATGTAACTCGACATGCTTTGGAGTCTGAAGAGACAGAGCAGCAAGATGGAAACAAAAAGACTGGCTTAATGTTGGATTGCAGTTTTGTGTTGAAACTTGAACATTGTAGATCGTTAAAACAATAATACCAGTAATCTTCACACGTGCTGCAGTGTCTCAATCAAGTTTAAGGCAAAGTGGAGAGAATATTCAGTTTGTATGTTATTAACATTCTTCATAATACAAACACATCTTGTGACAAAGTGTAATTATCTTTCCGGTCTAATCAGCCAGTGTGTGCCAATTGGGTTACAAATGTGACTTCTTTAGCGCTGCTTCTCCAGTGTAAGCACGGAGGACATACTCTACCATCCAGCCCCGACTTTAACATGCAAACATCGTCATATCCAGACGTTCTGAATCAGGTTCATGTCCTTCAGTTCGTCAATCCTCTGGAAAGAGAGGAGCTTCGCATAGCCTCCAGTCACACCAGCAAACACCTTTAGAAAAGCTGCGGCGATCTGCGTGAGGCTTCTTCTTCTTCTTCTCTTATCTCTGGTCCTAACTGAGGAGGAGGCGTCTCTCTCCAACACTTCTGCAGAGTGGTGACCTGCAGATTAAAACACAATTTGTATTTTAGTAGACTCCCTATTCCCTCAAGTTTGTATACTGTATTATTTTAATCACATTTTATTTGTTTACTAATTACCTGAGGTGGACGATGTCTCATGACAAAATGTGTACGAAGAGAACGGCCAGGCCAATGTTGAGAAGGATGACCATGCATATCATTATGGTGTTTGGGCCCTTAAAGAGAAGTAAACATGAGACATGAGGGCAGTTTACCATCTTGTGAATGTGTAGAAACCTGAACAGTTTGGAACAATTATTACTCAAGAAATATCTTTGGGTATTTTTTGTACTAAACGTTTGTAGTATTATGGAAACCAACAGACAATGTTCAATTGATGGTCGAAGCTTGTTCCTTTTTAAGAAGATGCAAATGTATTTTTAAAAAAAAAAATTGTAGTTGTTAACTTATCTATTTTTAAGACTTCTGTAATTATATTTATGAATCACTCTTAAAGGTAATTCACTCCAGAAACACTTTTTGTTATATTCCATGGAATGCTCTTAACGTCCCGATAGCAATGAATACATTAAATGCTTTGACAATAAATACATTAAAAAATGTCATCTGTGGAAGCCGTGGCGCTGTAAAAATCACGACCAATCATCTGAGCCGGCCCGGCTAAAGTAACTGGATGGCCTACCTGCCTGTCAGCCTTCCATCTGGGCACAAACTTATCTCGTGCCCTCATTGGTCATGTGCGCGTTCGTGTGTGTTGGAGGAGGGGCTCTGTAAGGAAGTCTGAAGGAAGGGGCAGATTCTTTTCGGCTGCGTACTTTCAAATTCTACCGCACTCGAGCTGGTTTCTCCGTTCTTACCTACCCTACCTTTAAGTAAACTCATTTTAATGTACATTCAAAGATAAGTACTAAGATCCTCTAGGCCAGGGGTTCCCAACCTTTTTTCCCAAGAGCCCCCCCAAATGACTCCTTTGGCGCGCCCCCCCCCCAGGTTGGGAACCACTGCTCTAGGCTGTATTCCTGTAGTTTTACATTTAACATATTAAATCTGTTAAATATGAGCTAAGGGAAGACTTTAAGGTCCAACTGCTTGTTCCTTAGTTTCCTAAAAGAGTAGAAATCTGGATTTATCTTGAATATTTTCACATCTTGTGATTAAGGTAATTTATAACCTAATACTTCTACATTTTGGGAGATGCACTTTTTTCACTTGGCAGTTATAATGTGGCATCTCTATTTAGCTAGCATGCTAACATTTGCTTATAAGCACTACACACTGTACAGTTGTGTGTGTACAGGAATTTAATTAGTCCAATTATGTGTTAGGGGAAAGGTAAGGGAAAGACCAAAGTGATTTGAATTCATCTTGTAAATATCCTACAAATTCTCCAATCATGAATCTACATATTTGACTTCAAACCACCAACGTGAACCTAGTGGTGGTGCTAAAGGAAAAGATTGAGGATCGTCAAATTGACTAGGATTTATCTGCGGGGGATCATGAATGTCAGTAGAAAACTAAATGGCAACATGTCCAATAGTTTTTTGCATATTTGTGTTGACCAACGTTTTGGATTGACTACAATTGCTGACTCTGTAGTTGAAGCTAAAATGACTAAATAATCAAATGTGTGTCATTGTGTTTATCAGCTGTCTTACCTCCAGCTCTAAAGACTCAGCAGGCACTTCAGGACTCCGGCTCAACGCCATGGCCTTCTGTCTGGATTCTGCTTTGGGCTCCACCTTCGCAGCTGGTTTGGCCACGATGGCTTTGGCCTCCACTGGCGTTGGTGCTGGTTCAGGCGTCGGTGTAGGTTTTGGGGACGGAGCTGGGCTCGGCTGTCGTCTCGGTAACGGCTTTGTCTCTGCTCTGCTGGCCGGCCTGCTCGCCTCTCTCGACTCCACTTTGTTCTCAGAGACGGACGGCGCTCGTTCCTGGACTGATGGAGCTCTTTCAGGTTTGACCTCGATGGTTTTAGGCTCGGGGGTGGCGGCTCGTGATGGCACTTTGGAGGCGGGGCGCGGCTCTTCTTCTTCATCTTGAGAGATGAGGCTATTCCTTACAGAGGCAACAGGTGCAGAAACAACATCTGGAGCTGCTTCCTCTGAATCAAACTTCTGCAGGGGCTGTATCTCCAGGTCTGATCCCTGCTCGTTCTTGCTGCTCTGACGGCTGGGGGTGCGAGAAGGGCCACGACTGCCAGGGGCCTCTGTGCTCTCAGGTGCAGCCGTGGGGGGGGCAGAGGTTGCTGGGGTGGTGGGGCGGCTGCTGGGTCTGCTGTTGGACTTACTGCTGCCCTTACTGCCTCCACTTTTAATGGATTTGTCTTCGTTCCAGCCTCCTGGACTGAGGAGCTTGGGGTCTTCCTTGCTGATGATGCCTGGGCTGGGGGAGGGGGTGCGCGCTGGGGAAGAGCCAGGCATGAGGTTGTCCAGTTCATTCATGAGGGGGCTCTCTGGTGGCGTGGGCAGGGGCTCCTCTTCCGCCAGTAGAGGCTCATGCATGATGGTCTCGGTGGTCTCACTTCCCTCGATGCTCTCATGTATCACTCTCTTCTTCAGATACTCAGGACCTGTGGGAGACCAGGATATTAGAGACAAGATAAGATAAGATAGAACTTTATTGATCCCAATTTGGGAAATGTTGGTGTTGCAGCAGCATAAAAGACATGACATTGTACAATACAAATGAAAAAAGACTAGAAATAAACAAGAAAGTAGAAAATATACATGTTGAAATTTACAAATGAACAATAACAAAACATGTGAGGGATGGAATATTACATATTAAACTGAATATATAAATGTAAAATGTAAAATGAGATTTTAAGTCCAAGAGAAGCTATGGTGCAGATATTAATATGTTAGAGGGACATTTATAATACACACTTTACCTTGTTTACAACAAACCATGGGATAATATTGATTAACCAGATCATAACTTCTAGAAAGAGACATTGCTTTTACTTTTTTATTTTTTAATATCCTTTCAGTGCTTTGAGGCTACTATTTGACCAGATCCCATGAAAAGCCTTAAACCAATGCACTAAAGCCCGCCTCTCAGAGCTATTTTGAATTCATGTTTACTTCTGCAGCTGGTCTTTAGCTGCATACTTACCAATCCAATGGGTCCCTTTTACAATCATTTAATAGCTGGACTTAATTAATCCCAAAGATAGCTAGGGGTTCAATCAATCAATGTTTATTTATATAGCCCAATATCATAAATGTTACATTTGTCTCAGTGGTCTTCACAGTGTGTACAGAATATCAGTATGACGATACGACACCCTCTGTCCTTAGACCCTCACATCGTACAAGGAAACACTTCCAGAGAAAAACCCACAGTTTAAGGGGAACATGGGAGAAACCTCAGGGAGAGCAACAGAGGAGGGATCCCTCTCCCAGGACGGACAGACGTGCAATAGATGCTGTGTGTAAATTGAAAAGATAATACATTTACAACATAGGTAGTCCAAATGTTTGGAAATGCATGTGTCTATAATAATAAGATGAATCAGTGAGGATATCCATCCAGGACTCATGATCCAGGACCACAGCCAAGATCCAGGGCTCGCGATCCAGGTAGGAGCTAGGGGATGTATATTTACTATAGTGTTTAGTGTAATAGTGCTTTTGGTGCTCTATAGTCAGGGGTGCACATAACTTTTTTGCCCTGGTTCTCAAAGGAGCACCTGGAGATGTTGCTTGGTGTTCATCCTTAAAATGAAATAAACCGTAACTTTTGAGGGGGTCTTGACTTTATTTGCCAGGCACACGGCACTGAACACACAGAGGTGAACACAGAACACACATGCAGAGGTGAACACAAGACAACATTAGCACGACCAGTAATCCTACAAGCTGTCATCACTACCCTCCTGACTGTTCTCCTCACTGTCTTCCATGTCAGACATGGTAGCTGATGATGTAGGCCTACTACTTTCTCTCTGGTTGAGTCTGCGATTAGCTGCTTGCATCCACAAGTCAACAGCTGGGTTTGGGTCGAAAGTCTCTGTTGTCATCTTAGACAAGTGGATGTAATCAAATAAGTATGTGAACATAACCAATAACCTACCATAGCCAATAACAAATGGATGTAACTTATTTTATTTGTGTTGTTCATTCATATCTTATTTTACCTTAAAAATAAATAAATGTATCTCTCCAGTTTTAAAGGATATGTTTGGTTACTGTCCTATAGTATACATTGGAATGATTTCAAACCTGTTTATCGCAATAATTATAAAGGAGTGCCTTGGAAATATGTGTTTACATAAATTGTGACCAAATCGTTTGAACTTAGACTAAAGTGAACTATCTAAACACTCAAGATTACTTTACCTCACTGAGCTGTAGTTATCAGCCTCAGTCTGACTGGAGAGGACTCTCTCTCCACATTATTCTAGAAACATCTTCTTCTTATATCCGTTAAAGCAGCTAGCACCAGATTCTAATAACAGCGCTGGTACCGGTGCACCCTCCCTCTCTCCCTCACTCACTCGCATTTTGGCTGTGAGCTGCGGTTGCCAGATAAGCCAACATCCCCAATTTTCATCAATTACAGCGCCCATCGTACAGGGCAAATGAAACGTGTAACCGGGGTGAAAAGGGTGTACATTTACTTAATTGTGAATATCGTTACATCAAGGCCGAAAATTAGGATGAGCCACAACGGTCAAAAACATTTTTTCCCCTCCCAAAACTGCCAGCGCAGCGCCTCCACAGATCTGGCGCGCTAGGCGAACATCTATTACGCCAGCGCTACGGGCCGGCCCTGAGTTCATATGCAACTCGCAAATATCTTTCTCTCTTCTCTCTTCTCTCTCTTCTCTCTTCTCTCTTCTCTCTTCTCTCCTCTCTTCTCTCTCTCTCTTCTCTCCTCTCTTCTCTCTCCTCTCTCTCCCTCTTCTCCCTTCTCTCTCTCCCAATGTTGGTGCGCAAATGCGCCTTTTTTCAAATGACCCGGTGCTCTTTTTTTGGCGGAGGTGCGCATGCGCACCTGCGCACCAGTTATGTGCAGCCCTGTCTATAGTCATATTTTGGGGCTCCAGGACGGAGTGTGTGATTGAATGAAAGTAAACTACACTGTCTGTGTTCGTGGTAATCAAGGAAATGCATCAGTTTGTGATTAAGTGATTTGAATAGCTATTAAGAGACAGTTTTCTTTCTTTGACAGCAATTGAGGTGTATGGCGCGGAGAAAGGCGTTATATGAGGGTTTGGACACACAGAGAATACTTGTCAGTGGTTCAATTCATAGCAGGACTTGTCTTTTAGTAGTATTACTCTGACACAATTCATTTAGCCTCTCAGAAACATTACTGTCAGATGAGGGAGGAAGCAGGAGAAAATAGCAAGAGGCTCCAAAATGGCTGTGGTGCTTTTATGTGAACGTGTGAGTGTCGCCAGACTCGCAATGAAACTGATATGATCCCTTCGACCTAATAAGATGTTCCTTTTTTAGACATTCAGATGCGACTACCCTTGTGGAGAGCCTCAGCCGAGGATCTGCCAGCTCCAAGTGGAGACATGCACAGGGACACTTTATAAACTACAGCGTGGTTAGTGGTGGAATAAGTTCTCTCTTACCTAAGTGAAAGCAGCAATACCAAAGTGTAAAAATAATCTGCTGGAATTGGGCCGGTACTCACCGGTACGCAGTACCGGCACTTCTGGTTCTGACCCATGGAGTACCGGCACTTCTTGCTCAGTACCGGCATGCTGGCGGTACTCCGGTACTCATGCACCGTGCCAGTACTCAACACTCTCCCGCCGTTCTTATTATACATCCATATATATATATATACAGCCGCCCGGTACTCAGTAGATGCGTCATGAGGTGCCGAACGGACATTCTCATCGCTCTAACCGCTGGAGTTTCACAGCGGCTGTCAGCTGTTTACTCCTGTCATTCAAACAGAACGTGCTGGAGAGGGGGCGGGGCTTATCTTCTCCATGTAAATACTGTGGTGGAAACGACTATGTCAAAATTAACCTATTTGACCGTGATTTAATAGTAATACACGTTTCAAAATAATAATAATAATAATAATAATGCCGAAGTAACAACATACTGAAAACTGTTAGTAAAACCATGTTTTAATGCTTTACAATTTACATACCTAGATGCACGTGTGTTGTGTTTATGCAGTGCAACTCCCACCCAGTGGGTGGCTATGTAGAGTGATAGAACAGAGCAGGCACGCCCCCGAGAGAAGGAAAGCAAGTCACGTCACAAATTAGCATTTCTAAAATGTTAGCGTGGATTAATAAAAGTGCAAAAAGACAGCGGTTGTCGCCGGAAGAAACTTCAAATACAGAGAATGCTGTGCCTGTGTTGGAAATTGTGTCTGATGGGGAGCTTTCTTTGGTTGATCCTCCTACTCCAAGTTCTAGTGCATTAGCATTAGCACTAGCTCCGCCGCCTCCTCCAGAGCCTCTAACGTTAGCTGCTGCTGGCGCAACTGCCACCACCAACACCGGGCAAAGCGATGCACCTGACTGCTGGACAACGGACCAGGTGCAATATTTTTGCAAGACCAATGCATGGCTCCTTCTTAAAGATAAGAAGCTAGGATGTCGGATATGCAGAGATGTCAAATATTTGGGAATACACACTGGACAAGGACTGAAACTGTCAACTGAATGGGGTGAGTGTGCAGTGTCTCATTTCGGTGTTGACAAGGGCAAACAACAAGCTAGCCTGAGAAAAAAAATCAAAGAACATAAAGAATCACAAGCCCATGTAAAAGCTGCTGACATCCTTACATCTGCTTCACGTGAAACTATTCAACATCAAGTGCAGTCTATGCATAAATCTGAATTAGACACCACTATCAGACTTTTTCGAATGGCATATCAAATTGGCAAACATAGCCGGCCATTCACAGACATGCCAATTGATTTGAATGTACAGAAACTGAATGGGCTGAACGTGGGCAGGGTTTTGCACTCCAATAAAACCTGTGGCGAAATCATCGACCACATAGCTCATGAGCTGAAGAAAAAAATGGCAAAAGACATTACAGAAAACCAAAGAAAACTCTGTGTTTTGGTCGATGAATCTACCACTATTAGTGGTAAAACGGTGCTTGTTGTGTGTCTACGCTCAGCATTAGCTGATGCTGAGCCCGAAACGTTTTTTTGGGAGCTGATCGAGTTGGATGGAACAACGGCTGATGACATCACAAAGGCGTTAATGGAGTGTCTTGGAAGAGATTTTAACGAGGACTTTTTAGGTCAGTGTTTCGTTTCTTTTGCATGTGATGGGGCCTCAGTCATGCTAGGGAAGAGAACAGGCGTTTCTACCCAGTTGTGTAGTAAATTCCCAAGCCTGTTTGTGTGGCACTGCTCCAATCATCGTCTAGAGCTGGCAGTTGGGGATGTGGTCAAGGAGGTCTCAGGGCTCAATCATTTCCAGATCTTTTTTGACAAACTCTATTCCTTGTTCCATGCCTCCCCCAAAAATCAGAGGCAGTTAGCGCAGTGTGCGCAAGCAGTCGGACAGCGTCTCCTGGTGATAGGGCGTGTTTTGTCCATCCGCTGGGTGGCTTCAAGTGAAAGGAGCGTCAGAGCAGTCTGGGAAAACTACCGAGTGCTTCATGATCACTTCACAAATGCTGCAAACGACACGAGCAGGGATTCCAGAGACAGAGCAAAGTACAAGGGCCTGGATGATGTGCTCACATCTGCAACGTTTGTCAGCAATCTGGGACTGATGTACGATGCGCTCACAGAGCTCAGCGACCTCTCTCGGCAACTCCAAAAAAGAGAGATGACACTGCCTACAGCAGATAGGCTCTTAACTCGAGAAATACGAGTTTTTGAATCCATGGTCACCATGCCTGGCCCACACATGACTACAGTTCATACAGCTCTAGCTGAGAAGTCCTTCAAGGGTGTTGCCCTGCGTGAGAATGGCAGGCTTGTACAGATTCATGCAGGTCAGTTTTTCCGCAGTATGGAGACACAGAATGACTTCCACAACCTCCTCTCATGTCAGCACAAGAGAAATCCCATTACATGGCCGGGAGGCCCGGGACAATCAGCTAATCCAGGACATGAAAGTTATCCATCCTGGAAGTTGGCCTGAAGAGGAGTTAGACGTACAGTATGGGGACGTAGAGGTGCTACGTTTGTGCGAAGTGCTGAAAGTGGACAGAAGAGAGACTGTTCAGGGCTTTCGCGAATACAAGGAAACCAGGGCATCCCGTACACCTGCTGCCATGGAGCCTCTACTGAAAGCAGTCCGAACCATCGCTGTCTCCACTAGTGAGTGTGAGCGGGCATTCAGCTGCATGAACGATATCCTTACTGCAAAAAGGAATGCTCTCTCTGTCAGCCGACTGTCCAGCCTGGTTTTCATTAAATGTAATGGACCATCACTAGGACAGTTCAATCCGGAACAGTATGTGAGGTCCTGGCTGGCAAAGGGAAGGAGAAGTGCTGATGAAAGAGCCTGTCCAGCTCCAGCCCCTGATACTGATGTCCCCAAGGCCTTCTGGAGCCTTTTCTAACAATGTGAAGTATATTGCAAAGCAGCTCACCCAGTGAGAAGACTTTTGGCATAATGTGCCGATTTGTACAGATCCTGGAGATAGAAGGACTTCAGACCAACCAGGGAGTTATCTGATCAGCTTGGTGTTCAATGTAACTCTTTACCATGGCTCAGACTTTGTTACTTGCAGTTACAGTTTCTCATTTTAGATTGTGCAAATTTTGCATTTGTTTTTACATGTTCTTTGTTCATGCTCTTTATCATTTTTCTGAGTTGGAAAGTTAGATTGCATCATAGTTTACTTTATACATATTTGTATTCTTCAGTGGTGAAGTATATTGCAAAGCAGCTCAGCCATGTGAGAAGACTTTTGGCACTTTTTCGTTTTCTGAGTTGGAAAGTTAGATTGCATTCAAAATGTACAGAAATACTTAATTTTGTTAAAGCTTTTTATAAAAAATGCTTCTGACCAGAGCTTTGTTTCCTTGTCATTAATGTTGAACACCACCAGAGGGGCTCTCACCTGAAAGGTCTCTGCTTCATGTGTCTTCAGCAGAAGATCTAGACTTTGATTGCTATATTTTCAGTTAATATTGACCTTACTGAGCTTTAGCCATATCCGCTGCCTATCATAAAAAATGTTAAGTACAGTGAACCTTTCTAAAATATACAGTAGTAAAGAGACAAACCCACCAGCATTATAGTAGCCAAATTCTTGTTTGTGGGCTGTATATATAAAATTGACTTGAAAAAGTTGCTGATTTTAGAGTACTGGCACCTTTTTCATTCCAATTCAAGCACTGGTTACAAGTGAAAGTTATCCATTTCTAATTTAACGTATAACTTATCAATATGAAGTATAAATAGTAAGATGCAGAATGGCCCATTTTAGAATGGATATCATATTATTGGATAATCATTAGTGATGCATTCATTTGTCATTGCTTTAAGGTTGCAGCTAGGTAGACATGTAGCTGTATTTTATATTTCCTGCATACTTCAGTAGCTTGTGTATTCCTCAAGTAGATCAATAACGGTATCATTATCCAAACAATTGCATCAAACATGTTTTTTTGGATTGTTTTCTTAGTATGAATCTGAATCTGTGAGGTAACTTAAGTTATTAGATAAATAGAACAAGTATAAATCCCACTAACATAGAAGGGAGTAGAAGTATAAATAGCAGAAAAGGAATATGCTCAAGTAAAGTATCTAAACATTGTACTTAAAGGTGGTGTAGGTAATTTTGGAGAAACCAGCTCGAGTGCGCTAGAATTTGAAAATACACAGCCGGAAAAAAATCTGCCACTTCCTTACAGAGCCCCTCCTCCAACACACACGAACGCGCACATGACCAATCAGGGCACGAGATAAGTCTGTGCCCAGATGTAAGGCTAGGTAGGCCATCCAGTTACTTTAGCCGGGCCGGCTCAGATGATTGGTCGTGCTTTTTACAGCGCTACGGCTTCCACAGGTAACATTTTTTAATATATTTATTGTCAAAGCATTTAATGTGTTCATTGCTATCGGGACGTTAAGAGCATTCTATGGAATATAACAAAAAGTGTTTCTGAAATAAATGACATACCCCACCTTTAAGTACAGCACTTTAGTGTACTGATTTATTATTGTTTTCTTCAGTTAATAGTAATATTGATGTCATAGGTTTCTCTGCTGTAGATGAACAAATATGTTGTTTTATTTGTATGAAGTTCATAGTTATACGAAACACGTAAGAGAAGCACTCATGACTTGAGAAAGATGATAAAAGTATGTGCTTTTTTTATAAATGTTTACATGGACTGCCCCCGCCCCTCCCTTAGGGGAATTCATCCACAAAAAACACACTGGACGCTGCACTAGGTCAGGAACCAGAGGAGACTGTGAAGTCCACCGTAGACGGACCACTTTTGGACAAAATGTCCTCTCCGTTAAAGGCAGCTCATTCTGGAATAGCCTCCCAACTGAGACACGGGATTATCCCACTCTCAATAGCTTCAAAGGTCAACTCAAAGAATGGTTGAGAAACAAACAGACGTGCAATCACCGCTAAATGCACTTTAACACAGGGGTATCTCCTCTCGCACTTTAGGTAGCTCTGGTATCATCTCTTGCACTTTATATGTCATAGCTGCTATATTGTACAGCCATGTCATAAATACTCGTGTATGCTGCTCTTGCTTTTTTGCACTTTTTGCATATTATGTATTTGTTTTTGCAATGTGTATAATTGTCATGTTCTTAAATGTTTTATGTGAGGGACTGCAGGTGGAAATGAGCTTCAAGCTAAAATCCGGCATATTGACACTATTTGCGTTTGTTTTAAGTGTTCATTATTTGATAAAGCTTATAGTTAGGGCTGATTAGATTCAGCCCCTAGTTTTGCTGATAAGTAGTAGTACTTAGTTTGTCGGGGGACATCTTACTTCTTCCTTCTCTCTGTCTATACCTGTGTACTCTCATGTTCCGATTAACCCAGCTTCCCCAAATGTCTTTCTTTTTGGTGTCTATATACGCCGGGATCCGGAGTCATGGATGATCCTGCGCTCCTCTGTCCTGGATCGCGAGCCCTGGATCTTGAGTCGTGGCTGTGGTCCTGGATCATAGGTCCTGGATGGATATCCTCGTGGATTCATCTTCCTATTATACACACATGCATTTCCAAACATTTGGACTACCTATGTTGCAAATGTATTATCTTTTCAATTTACACACGGCATCTATTGCACGTCTGTCCGTCCTGGGAGAGGGATCCCTCCTCTGTTGCTCTCCCTGAGGTTTCTCCCATTTTTCCCTTTAAAACTGTGGGTTTTCTTCGGAAGTGTTTCCTTGTACGATGTGAGGGTCTAAGGACAGAGGGTGTCGTATTGTCATACTGATATTTTGTACAAACTGTAAAGTCCACTGAGACAAATGTAACATTTGTGATATTGGACTATATAAATAAACATTGATTGATTGATTGATTAATGTGCATTGTCCCTGCTAAATAAACGATGAAATGGAAATGGATGAATATGAGTCTTAACCAGAGAATAATCCAGGTGAAAATAACTGCTTGTGTTTATAGCCAATGATGAACCATTTCAGTCTTCCTCTCAGAGCCACTGACCTGGCTGGTAGAAGGACGGGGACAGCTCTGTGGACACCAGCCGGGCGATGCTGGACTCGTTGTTGGAGGCCAGAGCCGCCAGCTCCGCTCCGTTGGCCTTCCCCTTCGAGTGGGTCGTCCTGCGGGGGAACAACGCATCACAGATCATCAGTCACTGGTACAACTCATACAGATTTAATATCTTCAGGTTACTGTTATGTTTCTAAATTGGGGTTTTCTAGTTAGTTGTATGTTTTTACTTCATGTATGAGGGTTTTCAGTCTGTGGCTATAAGTATGGTTTTATTGTCTCGTGCTTTTACATTAGTTTATTTTTGTCCTATCGGTTTTGTCTAAATGTATTTATGCTGCTTTTTTATATATGTTTTGATGTACAGCACTTTGGTCAACTCTGTTGTTTTTAATGTGCTATATAAAAAAAGTTGGAGTGGATTGGATTATGTTATCTGTATGTATGCATACATCTGAAAGGTTATTATAATAAGGTGGCACCACATTCACACATTGAAGATAGCTTGTATTTCCTACAGTGTAATTACGTCTAAAATATTCACATACTGCAACTATTAAATCTGCTCAAAGTGCTCCAAAGAATAATGATGACAATATCACGCTTGATTAGATTACAACACTCGTAAGACTCTTCAAAACGTGACACTTCTGGACAGTTGAATGAGAACATTTGGTGTAACCTTATTAAACCAACAAGCTACCAGATAAACAAGAAATGATTGTAAGAACAATAGAAACACACCCTTATTGGCAGAGAGGGGAATCACATCAAGCTGCTCTCAATTCTTAATTAACAGCCAGTCCCCACACTCTCTGAATGAGACTCCATTCACTCTAATTGTGACTTTTAGATTAAATGAATTGACAACAGCTAGGGAACGAGTAGGCTACCAAAGAATGAGATACTGCCTCAAAAACTATTTTGGTGAAGCAAAAATGCACTAAAGCTCCTCAAATGTGACTATTTGCCATTAAAAAATAAACATCCTGGGTTTTGGATTGTCGATTGAGAAAAAAATAGCAATTTAAAACACATATTTTACTTTTTTAGACCAATCTTTTATTGAAATGATCATGAAACATACAGATTAATGGATAGTGAACACGTTTTTTTTGTAGCTTAAATATCACAACCTGTGTTCTCTAAACAATAAGCGTGTTAAAGACTCATTCAAAGTTGATAATGCAATATCATGTTAATATTGAAAATGAATTCTGCATAACTAGACTTTGGATTTCACTTTTATATTATGTTTTATCTTTGTGTCGTTTAATGCACGTTGACCTTGATCTTGTCTTTTCTGATTAAACAAATGATGGCTGTTGAATGTGAGACCTTAAGAAAAGATGGCAGTTTAACCAAAATGACTGCAGTACAGGGGATTGTTTATGGTGTTCAATCAGGGCGCGGTGGCTACAAGTCATACGGCTAATTAAACCCCCTGTCCGTTCGCTAATAATACATTAGCTATAGAGAGAGGAGGTGTCCTTTTCTGCTGTTGGACTGGAACAGAAATAAATTATACTTTCATCACCCCCAAGCAGGACAATGAGTTATGGCTGTAAGATACTAAAACATCCATCAACACACATCATACATACTTTTATGTGACAGAGACAGAGAGGGGTCAGGAGTGATGCATAAAGCTACAGAAAAGTTCGGACCGACAATTTAAATGGTGGGGAGATGTGTGGGAGAGAAACTTTGGGTATTTAGCCTTTACAGACCATTTTTACAGAAAAATCCACACTCGAGTAGCAATATTTAATTCTTATCATCATTGTTGTTATTATATTAGTAATTTGCTATCTTATCATAAATTAACAACACAAGAGTCTGTTGTTGTTTGACTGATGCATTGCTTGGAGCTAAATTCGCACAATGTTGATATAACAGGAATAATTTTTAACATGTTCACCCAGTACAACCGTGTTAAAGTAACGCTAATAGTTGTGCTAATTGTTAGCACTTAACACACTGTCTAACTTTCAATTACCGTACAAATTAGATTTCTGACCAGATGGTAGCTCTAGATAAAAGTAAAGGGATCGCAGTTCATTCTTTGAGGAACATGAATGTGTTTACCATTATTCATGCTAATCCCTACAATAACTTGTGCCAATGGATCTTATGTAAGCAGATATATTTAACCAAAAAAACTGAAAGGTTTAACGTGCTGGTGGTGGTAATAAAAAGTCAGGAGGTCATCAAAGCTAGTAGGCTTCATCCTGATGGGGACTGTAATATCTGTACCAAATTTGAAGGCCGCTTATCCTTTACGGATAATTCAGTCTGGACCAAAGTAGACAACACACTGAACAAATATATCATTTCCGTGCAGAGAGTTCAAGCCTGCTGCTGCACATTAACAGGGAGAATTACTGATTGTGATTACTCTGTGGATACTTGACATACTGTAACTTTACACCGAGCTGAATATAGCTCCTGGTCCACTTGAAGACTCAGAGGGGAAGGAGCTTCCCTCTGGAACAATTAGAGACCCCCGAGGCTCGCTGTTTGAGATGGATGAGCTCCACCTGCCCACACACCGTCAGCACCTCCGTCCTCTTCCAGGAACAAACACACCCCCTTTATATTCACACTGACATCTTTCAATAAAGCATAGCTACGAATAACAGCAGCTGCTTTTTAGCAACAAGCTTTTTAGGTACAACTCCCAAAGGCAACAGCACAAACTAAACCATTAATACAACACATCAAAGAAACACACTTCTAAGTTTGAAAGCAATGTATAAAGTGAGTATCATGTCTGAATGTATACACATAAATCCATGTGTATTTGACATACAGTATATCATTCTACTGAGACACAGCTATTCATGGATAAGGTTGCAGGCTTTTCTCATTCATTGTTGTACTCACACTAAAAAGTAATGCACTATAATTAAAAAAGAACCAACGTTAGTGTGAGACAGGATGTGAAGGGCTGACTGCAAATCGTGGCTCATTGATATGTTTAAAGAAAATGCTTGTATCGATTAATTTCACGTGATACTCCACAACATTTGAGATGTAATATAATACTTTTTACAACAACACATGTATTTGATGGTTAACATAGGATGCATTGCCTTTGAATAAACTACTAATTGGCATATAACATCATTTGCTATGCCTTCATTGAAGTCACCAGTGGTGCCTGCAGAGCTCAGAGACAGACTGTGAAGGCTACTAAAAAATGTTTGCTGCATTCAAGGTCTTCAAGAGCACAGTGGCCTCCATCACTCTTAAGTGAAAGCGGCAACTTCTCATAACCCAGTGTGAGTATGAGTGTGTGTGTGTGTGTGTGTGTGTGTGTGTGTGTGTGTGTGTGTGTGACTATGAGTGTGTGTGTGTGTGTGTGACTATGAGTGTGTGTGTGTGTGTGTGTGTGTGTGTGTGTGTGTGTGAGTATGAGTTTGGGTGTGTGTGTATGGGTGTCTCAATGCATCACCAGGATTACTTTCAGCACCATAGATGTGCACAAACCTCAGACTGGAAGAGTGTGAACCATCATCCTGTGTCCTTGGGAGAAGAGTAAGAGCTCAACCCTGCGTATCATTGCAAAGGAATGACAGATTCAACCCTAATATATAACCAGTGAATTGATGCTGCATCATTTACTGAAAACAACCACCAGGAATGAAAGAGCAGCTGAGTACTGAGCTGTTCATATATGTGTATATGGCCACTGTGGGGATAGTTTCTCAAATCTGCATTGCTGCTAAAAGCATGGGAGAATTATGTCTACCATCAACAAGAACATCCATTGATTTGCCACTGTCATTTATGTGTACTGATATATCATTAAGTCTGCATTAACTGCCATACCGGCTTTTAAAATTAGGTGTTATAAAAAACAAGATCTTAAACAGGTATATCTTTTAGTTTTAATATAAGTTCAGTTAATGACAATACAAATGAGACAATCGCCAAAAACACAGATAACGTAAAATAAATAGGTATTTATTTGGAGTGGATTTTTAGGATCTCTGGGTGCTTTTACTCCAATAATAAGGGAATGGAAGTTATTTTTGGTAGTTGAGGTAAAAGAAACACAATCCTGCCAAAAATGAGGAAATGATTGCTGTATGGTCCTTTTTTAGTTAAGAAAGACTATTATTAGGGAGCAGACAAAGGAAGTAGCGTTGCTCTCTTAAATTAAACTCTGGATTTCTGCAGCCCTCCTTCTAACAACAGAATGAACATGATGCAGATAAGAATGAGCCCGCACGGCCCTTGAAGTTGTATAACTGCTGCAGTGCGTCTCTGCAACCAAACATGACATTTGACACTGTGACCTAAATACCCTTTGTGCCTTTAGGGCTGCGTTAAGGATTCTTGTTGTTCTCTGAGGAGGAATGAGACGTCAGCAGCCTTGAACATTTAAAGCTATGAACAATTGTACAAATTTAAATCCTATTTTAGCCGGTGCACAATGGAGAAGCCTGTCTTCGTCCTGCTGTTTTGTAACCACTTGCTTTGTGTCACGCTGCAGTTGTCTCGAAAGGCTGCTGAGGGCAGGAGATATTCTGTCATTCTGGCATGTGCCACTTTATCATTGTGGAGGGGCCTATTCAACTGTGTGTGTGTGTGTGTGTGTGTGTGTGTGTGTGTGTATGTGTGTGTGTGTGTGGTCTAGCATTACTATACTTGTGGGGACCTAAATCTGTTTACACAGTCACGTGTGGGGACTGGCTTCCCTTATGGGGACAAATTGGGGGGGAATCATTAGTTTTAGGGTGAAGACTTGGTTAGGTTTAGGATTAGGGTTAGGGTTAGGGTAAGGGTTAGGGTAAGGCATGTGTTGGTTATGGTTATGGTTAGGATAAGTCTCCAGGAAATGCATGTAAGTCAATGTAATGTCCCCTGAAGTGATGTATACATGGTATGTGTGTGTGTGTGTGTGTGTGTGTGTGTGGGTATGTGTGCGAGAGAAAGAGAGTGTGTGAATTTAGTGTCTATAAAAAGACGACTAAATGTTTCAGACTATAATCAAATCACTTCACAAAATAGGTGTACATTAGGAGCTAATTGCAACCTCATTATTGCAGCATTGCAAAGAGGTCACATAATAAATACATGCAGAGTAAATCAAGTACTAAGA